CTGCCTCCACCCCTCCCTCCTCCTCCGCCTCCTCCTCTGCCTCCTTCTCTGCCTCCTTGTCCTCCACCTCCTCCTCTGTCTTCTCTGTCTCTCCATCAGCTCTACAGTGGCCTTCGCCCACTCAGAGCTTAGAGCAGTGTGAGTGGGAGACAGCCTGTGTGACTAAAGCAATCAAACACATACGTGTGAGCGCGCACACACACACACACACAACTGCCTGCCAACACGAGCGTCAGTTCACCATCAATATTTCATATCTAAAACATGAAGCCTCCATTTCACTGGTGGCAGACAGGAGTGGTAGCCTCGGAGTGGTAGCCTCGGAGTGGTAGCCTCCGGTTTCTTCCCGCCCACCCTCTTCTTCCTGCCCACCTTTGCGTCACATAGACTGTACAGAGCAGTTCCTCTAAGGACAGACAGGGGTCCCACTGGGAGGACGAGTGCAGCTGTATTTAAAGTTAAAGCGCTCAAGGGAGGCGGCCATGTTGGATTTGCATGTTTTTGCCCAAGCCTGTGGTGGATAAACAGATTTCTCCCACACCACCCAAGGAGCATCATGGGTAAAAAAAAAACACAAACCCAACAGATCAAAGTGATGTGAACTAGTTAACTTATTTTAACCCGATGTTTTGTTTTTTTCAGAAACAGTACCAGGTCACTGTGGTCGGTACCTGTGACTGGAGCCTCGATGTCCAGGATGGTCTTCTCCTGTCGCAGGATGGTGGCGCCCTCGTCTATGATCCTCAGAGCCACAGCTTCCTCCACGCGACCTTCCTTGGTGAGGTGGGCCTTCAGGAGGTCGACGCGGGGCTTCCCTTCACAGTCGAACACCTCCTTCATGGTGAGACGGTGGCTCAGGGGGAAGGGGACGGCTGAGGACGCAGCACAGGGACAAAAGGTCATTGGACAAACTGGTTAATGTTGACCAGATACAGATGTTTTTTTTTTTTGGGCTCTGTGTAAAGGTCGTTCTGTCAGAAGTCGAGATGTTGACATTAAAACAACAACAATAATTCGTCCAACTTTAGGGAAACTTACAGTGTGAGTCTCTGCCACCAACAAAGGCTGCCACAGGGGGGCGCTATTAGGCAAAACCCAACTTTCATCAACACTAGGGGTGTGAAAAAATCCCCCTGTATCATGATGCGTATGGTATCACCAGATTCTAACCCAACACTGTTAGTGGACTCTTTCAAGAGACAGGACAAAAATCCAAGCTGCGGTCCGAGTCACTGCAGGTGAACGCTGCAGATTCCCACAGACAGTGAAGATGAAAACTGATGATGTCATGGCTTTAATCCCTGCTTAAAAAAAACAACAACCAGACAGACAAACAAAAACAGTGTCGTAGCAGCAGCTATTCCTGGTCCTGGCTGAGCGGTTACTTAACGCTGCAGACCTTCACTGATCCACTGCTGGATCAGAATAAACTCCAACATCCAACATGTTGGATGAGTTCATCCTGCTCTTCCTCCCCGGACGACGACTAAAGCCTGTGGCCATTAACCTGCAGCCGTCACCGAGAGCGAGAACTCCGACCACGGATCATTACTGCAGGGCCAGAGTGTGTGTGTGTGTGTGTGTGTGTGTGTGTGTGTGTGTGTGTGTGTTGACTACAGGCTCTCAGGGTCCAGGCATCTGTGTTAATCTACAGATCATCTGGATTAACACAGAAACACAGAAACTCTTTCTAAGAGTCGCCCTGACAAACAGACCTGAGTCTGAGACCAGTGGACCAGTGGACCAGTGGACCAGCAGACATCAGCAGCACTGACCTCAGCCCGTGATGGGGGAGACAAACGGGGGAGAGGGGCCTGAACACCATCACCTGCTCTTCAATAATAAATGTAGACTAGTGGATCAGTGGACCAGTAGCACTGACCTCAGCACGTGATGGGGGAGACAAACGGGGGAGAGGGGCCTGAACACCATCACCTGCTCTTCAATAATAAATGTTTGACTGGAGAAGTCGCTCTAATGAGGCCAACACCAGTGTGTGTGTGTGTGTGTGTGTGTGTGTGATGCCACCACTTCCTCACAGTCACCACTACAGTCCAGGCTCCAGGACCAGGACAGTCGACAGTTACGCCAGCGGTATAAACTTTATTAACCCGTTAGAAACCCATAAATTAACTGCATCAATGTTTGAGCCGCAGGGTTCAGAGCCTGTGAAAATTACAGTAATCTAATCTAATCTAATCTAAATTCTAAATGTAGAATCCAAGGACTTTCTAAGGACTATTTTTTCCTTTTTGAAATAGGTATAATCCAGATTAATAATCCAGGAATAACAGTTTTATATTTGGTTTAAAATAAGTAAAAGACTGTGATAAAGGACTAAGGTTACGGTCGAAACAAGACAGAGACACAGAGAACAGTTGATACAGATGTATGTAGAGAAGATGAAACACTGACTTCAGATCAGCACCAGAGCAGAACTCCACTATGAAATACTGTATGTTGCCAGGCAACAGCAGCAGCAGTAACATCAGCAGCAGTAACAGCAGCAGTAACATCAGCAGCAGTAACAGCAGCTGACTGTCACAGTACCGACAGTTCGGCTGATGTATCTCCAGGACTGAACGTCAAATCTTCATCAGGTCAGAATGTAAACATCTAAAGTTGAAGTATTTAAAGTTCTTCAGACTGATCTGGTCCTGATGATAATGATGATGAAGATGATGATGATGAAGCACTCTGTAGGTCGGCCTCAGCTTCATCATCTTCTGTCCTGACTGGTCTTAAAAACTCTGATCTAATCTGTGAGAAATGAAGCGACTGTTGTTGTTGTTGTTGTTGTCATTCATTAATTATTACCAGAGTCTTCATCACAGCAGGATGAAGACTGTCATGGGAGATCTGTTGATCTGTTGATCTGCAGATCGGGGATTCCCAACCGCTGTGCCGTGGCCCACTAATGTGTCGTGGAAAATTATCCTATTTCAACAATTAAATTCTCTTCCTCTAGGTGGCAGCAGATGGCTATGAAAACTAAAAAAAAAATTGTTTTGAATACAGATCAGATATTATTATAATAACCATCATTTTACTAAATATATTTTAGCCCAACATTTTTATTACTGTTTACAGACTTCTAGAAAAGTTTGACTTTTTTTTCTTTTTTGATCATTTTTAGCTTCCTTCAGACGTCAGCACCCTAACTTTTCTGAAGCCTCTCCAACTTTCATTAATAATATTTATATCACTGTTGTTATTCATGCAGCATTAGCAACATGTTTCCTTTAGTTTTTCTTTATATTATTAATAATATTGTTTTGTTCATGACATTTAATTTATTTACATGTCAAATTATTCAGCCCTGACACTCAGACTCCCCCCTCCCCTCTCTCCTCCCCCACCTCACCTGTTTTCCTCCCACATCATCACTGGTTATTAAGGTTATTAACAACAACTCGTGGCTCCCTGCTGCTCTCATTAAGTTCAGATCCTTCACAGGTATATTTAGGGTCCTTCCTAAAATAGCTGACCTGATTCTGCCTGTGCGTCCACACAGCAGAGTGAAGACACTGTTGTTGTTAAAAACAAAAACAGCCAAACTGCCAGAGCAGCAGTTTTTGGATCTCATCTTCAGACGCGCTCTGTCAGAGTGAAGGCTTTAAGAGAAGAACAGTGATGAAAGGATCTAATAATAGTCCCAGGTCTGTGATGTCTGTTCTGGACCACAGCTCAACCAAACCACAGACTCACTCTGTCATTCGCTGTCGTGCTAAAGGTTTGGGTTTCGATTCCCACCACATTAACCCGGAAACTCAGAAATGTTGGTTCATTTTTTTTTTTTTTTCACGCAATAGAAAGTTCAACCATTCACACTGACATTCACACTGACATTCACAC